CCGGGCCCCCCACCTGGGCTCAGGCCTGGGCACCCCAGCCTTGCAGTCCACCCCTCAGCGCTCGGCCGGAGCGCGGCAGAGGACGGCATCTCCTCCCCACTCTTCCAATGCCTCAGTTTCCCACTCTGCGCCATCCCGGCAGAGCCCGGTGCCGCTGCCAAGCCCTGCGGAGGAAGTGCCGGTGTTTTATTGCCCACGTTTCACACGGCAGCCCTTCGGCAGCCAGGGCAGGCAGAAGTCCAGCTCCAGCACCAATTTGGAGCCAGCCAGGCCAACACCTTCACCGACCGGGAGAGGAAAGTGTCCCAAAGTGGCTTAAGAAGCCCAGAGGACACAACCACGAGGGTGGCCGAGGATGGGGTTGGTTCTCCAGACCCTTGTGCACCCCAAAGCCCAGGACACCCAGCCACAGCATCCCATCCCAGAGGCTTCGTGATCCCAAGGCTCCAGCAAGAAGCAAATATTTTCCAGTTTTTCAATGCAGAGCCCAGCGGGGGTATAGGAAACAGCTTTGTCAGACTAATTTGACCTCATTTGTGGAGGAGATTTTAAGCTTAGTTGAAAAAAAATATATAAATTGATTTGATTTCTATAAATAGCCGGCTAGAACTGCATGACATTTGATTAAGAAAGGGTAAAGAAACCTCACCAGGATGCACCAAAGGGATTAAAACCAGGCTTGGAGCTTTCTAAATATAGAGATGAAAATGGGGAATCACTTCTGCGGGGTGTTTTTTCAACTGTCTCCCCACAGGGTGCCCACCCTAAAGATTTGGAAGAAAACCTGAACTCCTAACTTGCAGAAGACACGAAGATCAGGGTGGTGAAAAAAAACCCCCCCGCCACTCCCTGGCCGGGGGAGATCTGGGTCCGTAAGTGAGCAGGCGGCGAGAAAACAGCATGTATTTCGGCACAGGCAGATGTCACGCTGTATGTCGAGGAACATCTACCCATGGTGTCCCTTGTGGGGTCTGCAGCCCAGGGGGATGCTGAAGGACCTGAGGGAAGCGCTGTGCCATGGCTGGGGCTGGAGGAGCCCCTTCCTCCAGAGGAGGGACTCCCGAGAAGTCACACTGGTCCTGTCCCCGGGCCCCCAGCGATGGGAGGCTTCACCAACCCACCCCAGGGCTTTCCCGGTGGCCCCAAGGGACATCCTCCATGCACCCAGTGTGAGTTTTCCTGGGTGAAGACTCCCCATCCCTCCTCTTTGGTCATCCCAAGGATTCCTGGTCACCTGGGCAGGACAGGGAGAGCCCTTGGACTTGTCAACCTGGATTTTAATGCCTGATGATCCATTGTTTCACAAGATCCTCAAATCCTTGGGAATGGCCAGGCAGAGACGCTGCCTGGCTGGGCCAAGCAGCGGTGCCCAGCCCTGGGGGTCTCACCCGTACCCCCAGCAGCAGGACGGGGGGTCCCACCTCA